GCATAGAGAAAAAATAGTTCCACAGTAACAGGAAAAATTAGCAATGGGCTTCAATAATGGAAGAATTACAGGATACAGGACAAAGGGAAAACTCCACAAAGAACACAGAAAGAGTGCAGGAAAACTGAAGAACAAATGCTAAACACACCTTGAGAGCAGGATGGAGAGAAAATGGAAGGAATGGGTCTCGAGGAGAAAAATAAAATAAGGTCACCTGCTATCAACTGCCAAGACCCACTAATTTGTAGCAATGGGAAACAGGAGAGCTGAAACCCCCTGCAGCATTCCACATCAGCATGCAATAGCCCAAAGTCAATAGCATCACTTGTAACAGGATTTGGCTTTGAATCGTATAAACTTGTCAATGGCAGATTTAAAAAACAAAAACCAGAAAAGGATGGAAGTAAGGGACTTAACATAGTGACACAACACAAGGTGAAGCAATAGAAAATAAGGTGTTTTCCAGAGCGAAATCTTGCAACAGCTGCCAACAGGAAAACAAGAGCAAGTTCCTAAGAGGCAGCTTATTTTTCTAGCAGCAATCTATTCTATTAAGATGATCTCAGTGTGTACTGTGGCTAAAGAACAGGTGCTCACAGAAATACTGGTTCTTTGGAAAGAAAAATGAATCAATGGTACTTAGAACAACAACAAAAAATAAGGGTTGCAGAGTAGCAACAGATAATGACAGCAGCCAACAGATACAGATGGAAGGAGATAGAGTATTTCCATCTGAAAATCTTCTTCCCCCTCTCCCACCTGCAACAGGATACACAACAATAATGACATCTCTCAATTTGAGAGTCTGGGAAATAATAAGTTTCAAATATAAACTGAGAATTCGCCTGCAGTTTGCAATGCCTTGACAGGTGCCATGTTATGCATACGTTGTACCATTAATTTCAATAGACTTAACACAAATAAGAGACGCTATCTTAAAGTTACTCTGGGCAATAGAAGACATCCTAGTTGTGGACAAAGGCAGCTAAAATAAGTCTAGAATCTCCTAATGCAGTTAACTGAAAACTACCCTAACTCCTGGAATTTTAAAAGTTTGCCATGTTTGTTTATAGTATGAAAAGGCTATTGAGGCAACTATCAGCTAAGGAGGCAAGACAGTCTCCACACAGCGTGACACAGAGATAACCTACCTAAGAGAAGTCTGAGGCTACGTCTAGTTCTTGCTTTGCAAGTTATGGCCCACAGTTTTAAATAGAATATTGTTGGATCATTTATAGGCCGATTATGGGTAATTTTAATTCTTGGACTTCATTTATTAAGCCATTTTACTATTTCCATTTCATTAATGTTAGGAATATTTAAACAAATCATATTGGGGAAGGAGGCTCATTTCTAGATATAATTGTTATAGCATTCAGGATCCATTAGTCATGTGTTTCTTATTGCTTAAAAAGTATGATTTGAATGAAGTCTGTATGGTGTTTTCCTTCTGGTCACATAAGTGTTGCCCAAGAATTTAAAGCTTACTCATTGAAATAGCTTCGGAGAACACTCACTTGTAGTAATAAGTTATACACTTAGGCTGTGTCTAGACTGGCAAGTTTTTCCGCAAAAGCACGTGCTTTTGCGGAAAAACTTGCCAGTCTAGACACAGCCTAAGTGTATAACTTATTACTACAAGTGAGTGTTCTCCGAAGCTATTTCAATGAGTAAGCTTTAAATTCTTGGGCAACACTTATGTGACCAGAAGGAAAACACCATACAGACTTCATTCAAATCATACTTTTTAAGCAATAAGAAACACATGACTAATGGATCCTGAATGCTATAACAATTATATCTAGAAATGAGCCTCCTTCCCCAATATGATTTGTTTAAATATTCCTAACATTAATGAAATGGAAATAGTAAAATGGCTTAATAAATGAAGTCCAAGAATTAAAATTACCCATAATCGGCCTATAAATGATCCAACAATATTCTATTTAAAACTGTGGGCCATAACTTGCAAAGCAAGAAGTCAGAAACTCCAACAACTGTCACTGGCAGAAAGAAGGAATTAAGCTTGAGTCGGGTCAGCAGGAGTGTACATATATGACGCATCACAACCAAGCCGTTGGGTACTGCTAGGGAAAATCTTCCAATGATCATGCACACACATATTGGAATACACGTGAGCAATCACTCAAAGAGCTAAGAGTGATCACATTATTTTGAAAGCAGTGCAACAGAAGTGAATCTGCATGATCATAAAGTCATGAGGCAATCGGGAGGCATATGATGTACCTGTGAGAGGAAGATGTCACTGATGAGGGGAAACAGTTCAACCTATTTCACGGCTAAATCTGGTAGTTTAACGGAAACTAGAATCACGTTGCACAATATTTTTAATTATCAGAATTTCCCACATTAGGCAGGCAGTTTAGATAAACACTGCCAGGAGATTGAGCAAACTGAACAGGAAATCATATATACATGATATAAAAGAAAATACCTCCAGGAAAAAAGGAATTTTATCAATAATGTATTCTTTGGAAATCACGTTCTCTGTAAAATTATGTAAAAATATGTAAATATTTAAGAAAACTGCAAAAATAATAAATTCAGAGTTTAAAAAGGAGGCTCTGTGTGTCCAGGATTCTGCCCTAAATGTGGAACTTTACCAAGTTTAATTAAACCTTTACAACCTTGGGATTGTTCCCTAGAATACTGATCATACCACTGACACCAGCCTTTTTGCCTCTGGGGCTCCCCTACCACCCTGTCCTATTAGGCCAGCTCCATTGGTCTCCGCCCCCACAAGGCACAGAGCTGGGGTTACTGCCCCCTCAAAATCTAAGCAGACACTGACCCACTTCAGCTCTGGGAGAATGCAGTTCCATAGAGCACAGCACCCAAGCAACTATCCCCCAAAACGATCAAAACCCCAAATAAATCCATCTTGATCTGCATAAAAATTTTTACAAAGGGGAAGCTCATGAGGATGTTTGCCTTTTTTAATCAATGAAAAAAGAGAGATATGCACACTGGTCGTTCCCCTAAACACCACTTACTTACACTAGGCCTCACCGAAAACAAAAGTATTTTTTATTAAGTACAAACAGTAGGATTTCAGTGACTACAAGTGAAGAGTCAAGTAAGTTACTAAATTAAACTGAATGAAAACATGTAGCTTAAAAAAAAATCACTAAAAAACTTATTGCAAGCAGATGCTTACCCTAAAGAGCTGTTATTTCAGGAATAATCTTCAGGTCAGACACTAACTCTTTTTCCCTGACCAGGGTCTCCAGCCCTTGTATCCTGATGGAGTGTGCCAGGTCAGCCGAAGACAAAGGGCTGATAGCTTATATCAGTGGTCCCCAACCTTTTGAGGTTGTCGGGCGCCAGGGGGCGTGGCCGTTCGCCCACCGGGCGCCAGGGGGCGGGGACACTTGCGCAGCCGGGGGTGGCCCCCCCCCCATAGCCACGCGCCCGGGGCCGGTGCCCCCCCGCAAACCCCCCCGCAAGCCCCCCTGCAAGTGCCCCCGCGGGCGCCATGGCGCCCACGGGCACCGTGTTGGGGACCACGGGCTTATATAGTCTTTCCTCCAGGAATGGAACCTTTCATTCTACATTCTGCCCCGCCGCTCTCCTTCCATAGAAAAATACCATAGTCAAAACAGAATCCCAGTACCAGGTGGTATGGTCACATGCCTCAGTTAGCCATATTTCTAATTTCTCATACAAGAAGGATACACAAATCCAACCAAATGTAACATTAAAATTGACTGGTTACATGAAGCATTTTGTCCAAAGCATCTTTGAGTTATACATATTTATATTCATTAGTCAATTTTCATAAAACATGAGGAGGGACTGTCACAATCATCTAGCTACAAATGCTCAATAAAATGCTCACCCACCACTCTGAAAGGCATACTTAAGTGGCATGATTTCAAAATACTGCTTATTATGCCAACAAAACACTACATTCTGAAAATACAGAAAGCAAAACATTTTTAAGCGCATCTCAAAATTCATTTGACAGAACAGAGTATTAGCTAACTATAGGACTGCTTTAATTACCTTTACTTCCTCACTAAAAAATAAAATTACTCAAAAAATTCAAAATACACTGGCCTGTGAATGCAAAACAGCATGGTCACAATTTTTTAAAAAAGTGCTCTTTTTCTTTATATATCGAGTTTAGTATCAATACAAGAATCCAATTTCAAACAGTGCTGTGAACATGAACCTTCCCACATGTATATGTCCACTGTACATCTACAGCTCCATTTTTGAGGTAGTTTTTAGAAATGCCTGTTTTAATGTGCAGGTTATGTGCCATAGTAAGTACAGGCAGTCCCCGGGTTACATGGATCCGTCTTACATCGGATCCCTACTTACAAACGGGGTGAGGCAAGCCCGCACTAGCCTAGAATAAAACTGAACTCTGGAGAAATGTTTGGCTAGAGTTTCCCCTACAATATGTACCAGTTCCGACTTACATACAAATTCAACTTAAGAACAAACCTACAGTCCCTATCTTGTACGTAACCCGGGGACTGCCTGTACTTATGATCCTCATCAAGTGTCACCTACATTTCTGAAGCTTGAGACCCAGTGATATCGTCAGCCTTTCACTCCTGCTAAAATATCTACCAGTTTATAGGGGGGATGTGATTTGCACCCACTGTTTGTAGTGGCTGAAAGACAGATTCACACGTTTAAAATATAAAAGTCAAAACAACTTATTTTTTTCTGTGGAGCACTACTTCTCCAATTTCCCTTGCTACCTCTGGTTCAATGGCAAGGCTTGAGAGAAAGGAAACAGAGATGTATCCCATCAACAGCATCTCACCGGAAATAATTAAATGTTCACAAATGCGATTATAAGATGACAGCTGCCAGTTGAGAATTTATAAGAAATGCTCCTTATCAGGAGAGTACAACAGAAATCTCTATCAAAATACCCCAAGATATCATTCCATTTGGAAGTCTTGTTTGTGGACATAATATAACTAAGTGCTCTTGCTATTTAGGTGTTCTAAGTTACTTACGGTTTCCCCCCAGGGATTCCTGCTAGATTTGGAGGGATTCCAGGTACTCTCATGTGAGGAGGAGGATCAAATCCAACCTGATAATGAAAAATGAATAAATCTCAAGCCTATCGAATAAGAAAACACAACTCCCCTTTCTTCACCTAGGGATGTTAAACTTAGATTAACTGGCTAATCAAATAGTTGATGCAATTTGCATCTACTACTTGATTAGTCAAGAAGGGCACCTCTGCCATGGCATTACAAATTGCCAATGCTGCATGGAGCCCAGGGTTAGCTGGGGAGTCCCCAGCTGATCCTGGACTTCATGTGATGCTGCCACTTTGAAATGCTGCTTGCGGCCTGGGCTGGGAGTCCTCAGACTGCACGTAGCATATCAAAGCAGCAGATGCAGGGCTGCACACGGCATTTCAGAGAGGCAGCAGCAGTGACAGGGGCCAATTCGTTGAGTAGTGTGTGGACTATCCGATAAGCACTTGCTTATTGGACAGTTGACTAGTCGGTCACATCCCTATCTTCACCCCCAACTTATTTGAATTTCCAAAATGTTCTACAGAATTTTTTAAATACAATGTTTCTTAAAGGAATGAATTAAAGGGACATTCTTAAGAAATTTATTTTTACATTTTCCAGTGTTCATATCAAAAACTGAACAGATGTACATTATTGTAACAGCTTAAATATGACAGTAATGATATGCTTAATACATTATGTGCTACTTCAAGATTTTCTAGCATTTTAAATCTTATTATATTAATTCATCTAGCATAAATAAATAAATCAAGCCATCCCTACAACAAATATCGACCAAAGTGCATTCAAAGTTCATTCTTTGAAATGGTATCCATAAAATAAAATCATAATGCACATGGTTTTAAAGATATGGCATATACAGTTTCAGTCCTTCCTGCTCAAGAAAACTGAACTGTTTTCCAGTTTAAAAGATTAGCCTCATTATAGAATTTAGAGAATATAGCACCAAGCCTCCCATATCCTGCAAAGATTTATGCACGTTAAGTTTGCTTACAAATAATCCCAATGATTTCACTGGGCCTACTTGTGTTCCTAAAATAACACATGCACTTAAAAGTTTGCAGAACTGGGCCCTTACTTAGTTATATTTTATGGTAGTGGCGACTACAGGAGTACCTTATTTGCACTGTTGCTAGATCTAACATTTTTTAACTTTCCAGGCCATAGAGCCATAAACAGACACACACCAACTAACTTCAATTTTTTATTTAAAAAAAAAATGAAACTATAAGCACAGAAAAGTGGATAAAAAGCCTTCTATGTGCTGCAAGATTAATGTAGGATGTCTGTAAAGTGTACGGATCTGCTCCAGTAGGAGAGAAACAGATGTCCGGAGAACCAATGAAGTGCTTTGTAGCTTCCAACACTACCTTTTTATTCAGAAAATAAATAAAAAAATAGTTTGGCATTTCTTAATGAACCGAAGCATTGATGAAGGTTAACAAAAACTGAAACATACATAAATACACTGAGATTCTTTGTTTTCAAGGCATGAGTTTGTTTCTCTAGCCATATAGCAAAATGAAACATAACAGCGAAGCAGTCAAGCCTCTGGCGTTATGGCCTGGGAGCTTGACAGTGTTAAATGAAGCATGTAGCTTTTCCTAGTGAACCAAACCTCATCCTATTGAGACTGCAAGCAACATGTTTCCCTACCATAGGAGATCGTCCATAGGCAACCACAGCGGCCGCGGCTGCAGCAGCACTCATCTGCGGGGACATGTTGTGCAGACTGGCATAAGCTGCCCCTGGACTGGTCAAATCTCCATTCATGCCAGCATGAGGTACCATTCCAAATGGAGCAGGATATGGTCCTGATACCGCCAAGGGTGTCCTCAAACCAGCAGCTGCAGTTTAATGAAAAAATATGCTCATTTTGAATTGAAGTAATTTTCTTTCTATTTTTCTGCATAGGAAAGAAAACATGTCATTCCAGATGAATTCTTCTTGAGCAATACCCAGTCTTCCCCTCTTTGTGTTGCTAGTTACATTCTGAACTAGGCTCATCATCACCACCACCACTTATCCGGACTCTGTGTAAATGAAAGCTCTTCTATACATATGGCCAGGGCTAGACAAACCCCACCGAGAGCCACTTGCCAGCCCCGTACTGCGCATGCGCAAGACCGGCACTGCGCATGCACGAAGCGCTGGTGAATGAGGCTTGTGGTGCAACCGGCTGAAATCTACTCGCCACGGGCGAGTAGATTCAGCAGTTTGTTGAGCCCTGCATATGGTTTTTAATCTGATTACTTTTAATAATCCCTAAGCACAGTGTCCAGTCCTTCCTTCATATTTTCCTCCTCAGCATTGCTCATTCCCTGTTCTCATTATTTGGTCTTTCACCAATTCCTGCAATAAAGCTGAGAGGTGCAGTTTAGAAAGCTTACCTCTGAAGACTGAACAGCAAAGGTAAGCATCACTCTCAAGTTGTCAGGATTTACATTTCACTAAATATTAGCTGACTCAAATACAGGATAATGGGCTAGGAAGGCGCTTGCATTCAGAATAATTATCAGAAACTTTAAAGGAGTCATTCTGTAGTTTAGATTATGTAGACAGAAGATAAAACCAAATGTAAACAGTCAATCAGAAAGAGGTACAAGCTGCTGAAAACTAAGTCGGAACATCTGTTTCTTATCAAACCTGTTGAACAGTGTAAAGAATGAAGCAATGCATTTATTTAAGTATTCACAGATAGTTACATAAGTAAAAGATTAATGAAAGACTCAGAAAGACACATAAAAAGCAATGCATTACCAGCTTGGTTAACCAGAGGGTCCATTGTTGGCGGTTTGCCAAGGCCTGGACGAAGTCCTGGAGTAGCACTAGTGCCCGGAGTTGGCACATCACTTCGAGGAGTCGGTGTGCTGGATTTCAGAACAGGCGTGCTGGCTTTTTCATGCTGGTATCATTAAACAAATTAAATGAGCATTATTTTTAATCCAGGCCACATTACACAATTTATCACAACAGCAGCTGGGATGCTGGGCACCTACTACCTACTCCCTAAGCCAATTTTCATAAATCCGCACAATGTTGACAGCGTTAACTTGTGAACGAGAAATGTTGACCTTTCCTATTCCTGCCAAAATTATACAAGCTAAAAATGCAGAAGGTAATTTTTTCCTTCCTCCACGGTCATTAAAAATGTCTGAGATAATTTTTCTTCCGGACAGTATTCCGTGTATTACCAAATTCTTTCAGTGTAAAATCGACACCTCAAATATAACGGATAATAATGTCTAGTGTCCCAGATTAAAGTCCAAAAAGGCATGATATCTAATTGATAGACCCCTAAAATAAAGCAATTTAAGAAGTTGTGCCACTACAACAAAGACCTTATGATCAAATAATGACATTTTAACGAAAGAAAGTAAAAACAGCCGATTTAGAAGAAGGCAACCCTGATTCTGAAGAACTTTTTAATGATCTGTGTGTGTATGTTTTGTCTGAAGTGAAGAATAAAAGTGCAAGCTATTTTCAGCTTCAAAAACAAAACACTGTTTATAGTGTGCTGTTTGCATTATAGTGTAAACATTAGCTATAAGTGTACAGGCAAGACCAGTGGGAAGTAGAAGTTTTTATCAGCAAAGAAGAGGGTTGTATAATGGTCATGGGGAACAAGAACAAGATTCAACTTCAAGTGTATAAAATCAGACATCCACTGCCAACAAGTAAGCCACTGTGCACAATAATTAGTAGTAAGACCATACATGTGAGAAATAGATAGGTATTTCCTCAGGGCTACAGGCTTCTTTTAACACTCACCAAACTCATTTCTTTGGATTTCAAGGAAGTGGAACTTCCTGAGGAGGCTGTGGATGCAGGACTGCTAGAGGCATCTTTTTTCAGCAGACGGTTTTTATCTATGCCATTCTCACGTGGTGAGTGTGCAGGACTTGCCCGTGGCGATGAAGGATCCTAAAATAATAATAATACTAATAAAACAAAAATACAGATTAGGGATGGGGGAGACAGGACAGCGGAAAGCAATATTATGGCCAGGGGCTTGTACAAAACACTGCAAAGAAATTATCACCACTGAAAAACTGGAAGGTTTTAACTAGACATGTTTAAATACACATATATTTTTAATTATTAGTTTTTATTTGTGACAATGTCTCCATTCCATCTGGTCAATTGGGGCAGTCAGCCCACTGACTAAAATAAATAAATAAATAAAATCCCTTGAAATCTGGTTAGTTTTACATGTGAATTTACATAATATTTTTTCCCTAAATATGAGATTACAACCTAATCACAGAAAAGTTGTAACAAGTGCATGACAAACAGTGAGGGGAAAGGGAGAACCAAAGTAACAGCAATACAATTATGCAGTTCATAATGTCTGGTGCAGGATAGCTCTGAATAATGAAAACATTTTAAAATTTTCTTTTCAAACCATAACCCACTTTGCTTATCCCCACCATCAAGAGAAAGTGACCCTGAGTTCCTGAGCCACAGAGTACATCTCTATTGTTTTCTTCCCCATGTACCAGTAGTGGGCAATCTGCAGCCCATCAGGTAATCTGATTGCTGGCTACAAGACATCTTACTGATGTTGACCAGCACCAGCATCATCCCCCACAGCTTCCAGCAGCTGCGGTTCTCTGTTCCTGGCCAATGGGGCTGTGGGAAGCGACATCAGAAGGCAAAGGAGCCACAGAAATATGTTGGCTACCATTTTCCACAGCTCCCACTGGCCAGGAACAAAGAACCATGGCTACTGGGAGCTTCATGAATAAACCACATGTCATGGAGTACTGATGGATGGATCACAAGCAAAACGTCTTCTGGCCCAGAATCAGATTACCCCAATGGGCTGCATGAGGTCGCTCACCACTGCTCTATACAGTCTGCCCTTTACTCCTCTCCGAAGCAAACCCTCCCCTGTACTCTGTCCACCCAGGTTCCCGGCCCTGTGCAGAAACTGCAAAGCCACCAGGACTCTAATAGTTTTTCCACATTCCCTGTTGCTCTCCTAAGGATAGTGTGGATATCTGCAAGTAGTATCAGATACAAGACATCAAAAATACTATTAATAGTTCTGTATCAGATACTGAGATACTGCTATGATCTGATCTTCGGAAGATGTTGCTAGTTACCTAGCTCCATGCTCACTTTCCACCATATAAGCCTACAAAGTGATGGACAGAGCTGACATCATCTGGACACCATAGGCCTTTACAGTGTCCACTTCCCAGTGCTGCTAAAAGGCAGATGGGAATAAGAGAAGAGTACTGATGGCATTGTATGCTCCCAAAATCTTGTATCTATAGGACACAAGAGGGGGGAAGAGGTGGCTGACTAGTCTTCTTCTTCGAGAGTAATTTGCTCTAGGAAATTCTGTCGACGTCTCTAGTTGCTTCTCTGCTCTGTTTGCTTCAATCCTGGACTTCATCAAATGCTATCTTCACAGTGGCCATTTAGTGTTGTGTTCCAAAGCCATACCTACCTAAGACACTTGGATTTAAATATACTGCTTGACAACCCGGCTACGTCTACACTGGCCCCTTTTCCGGAAGGGGCATGTAAATTTCACTAGTCGTCGTAGGGAAATCCGCGGGGGATTTAAATAAGTCGTCGTAGGGAAATGCGCGGGGGATTTAAATATCCCCCGCGGCATTTAAATAAAAATGTCCGCCGCTTTTTTCCGGCTTTTAAAAAAGCCGGAAAAGAGCGTCTAGACTGGCCCCGATCCTCCGGAAAAAGTGCCCTTTTCCGGAGGCTCTTATTCCTACTTCAAAGCGGCGGGCATTTTTATTTAAATGCCGCGGGGGATATTTAAATCCCCCGCGGATTTCCCTACGACGACTGCTGAAATTTACATGCCCCTTCCGGAAAAGGGGCCAGTGTAGACGTAGCCCCCCAGTCCTGTAGATCCTCATCTTAACTCTCCCCACCATACAAAGGCTTTCAAGACAGCAGCTGTGAAATGCTGGAATTCATCTTCTGGGAAAGCTGAGTGAATCAGTTTAGAGCCAGAAGAAAAGAGCCTGATTTCTTCTGTCCTGTAGTATGGCATCCAGCTAGCAGTAAATTTTAAGGTTTTTCAGGTTAATTACAAATATTAGTTTTTAAAAAAAAAACAATCTTCTTTTTTATATACATTTAGATGACAGTAAAATTTTCCTTAATTGCTTGGGCAAATGTTAAAAAAGCAAAAATGGAAACTAAGTTACCTCATTGGATACATCCACAACCAAGTTATCATCACTCTTGTCCCCATCACTGTCCTAGAAAAAATTGTTTATTCCATTTAATACACTTGAAAAGTACAGGAGAAAAACTAAGCATCTGCTGTATACACAATCTAAATATTAACGTTATCACGATCTGAACCCAAATAAGAGACAAAGAGGAGAGCCACGCCATTAGATGCAGAGAGCATATAAGGACAAATACACAAATTTAATGAAAATAAGAGAACATTGTTGGGGGAAGGGGCCTGGCCTTTTAGCTTTAAAAGTATACTTTTGAAATTTGAAAGAATTTGCAACTAAAATAACTGTTTACACTCAGGGGAAAAAGACATACTTAACTGTTCTCATTGCTAACCTGTATGTTTCAATCCTATGAACTGTAAAAGGAGAGTTATAGAATTAGTTACAGTTTGCACTGTGCTTTGAACATGTAAAGGACAATGACTAAGATGTTCAAAGACGTTTCCTATGTGTATTACTTCTTTCAGAAAAATATTCTCCTAAATCCAAAATAAGCCCAGTTTGAGACCTACTCTAAAGCTTCATAATATCAAAGTTCTGAGTAGAAATTAAACGGGAAGATTTTGAATTTATTGTCCTATTTCCAATCCCACAATTCCCATAGTCAACTTATTTCTGTTTTCTAAAACACAAATGAAACCAGCAGCCATATAAGTGCAGTCTGAAATTCAGTAAATCTTTGAAACAGTAAACGTGTTCCAGAGTGCAATAAGCATTAGAAAACAAGGGATTTAAAATAATGTATTTAGCTTATCTACTTATAACCCAATTCCCTTCCGACTACTTCTACCGAATCCAAATTGCCCTGTTTTCCCTAAAATCAACAGCTTCACATTGTATTATGATTCCCAAGGAAACAGAGTGGTTTAAGCATGCACTCCTTTGAATAAATGAGATCATTAATATCTCCCTCCCCAAACTGCTAACATCTGGACATTAGTGAGCTGAAAGACTTTAGTACATAGAAGAGTGTGTGAAAAGTTCCCAACATCAAAACAAGATTCAAGATGGTGGAAGAAATCACAGACTTTTGTTTCAAAGAAACCAGGGTAACAGGAGAGGTAATAGATACCACAGGCCTAAATTAACAGGATAAAGAAGGTGCCCGAACCTGCCTTCAGCTGTCTCAATGTAACCCCAAAGAAAGAGATTACAAAGGTGTAACTGTGAATAGAACTGGACATATTGTGACCAACAAAAGCATCTGGTGAGTGATATTAAGAATTACAATAGAGTCTAATTTTGGGGGATCTGAGTAACCAGCAGTTCAGTTAGTGCCCGAAGTCACAGATCCAGGGTATTCTTGCTACCGTACAATTTTATCACAATTGCACTTCCAACAAAAAGAGATCAGTCCTCCTCTTTGTTTCCCTGTATTACTAACATCTCCATTCCTTTTCTAATTACTACTATTACTCTTTAATTTACATTAATCCTACTCCTCCCGTCCTCATTTTTCATAACCTTGGAAGAAAGTTAAGGGGAGAAATGCTGAGCCATTGCAGCCAGTGCCTGCCTGCACAATTCATGATCCACAACCCTTTGTGCTGTTAGTTCTTTGGAACTCGATGGGCAAGCAAAGCTGCTTTTCATAGAAATTTTGCATAGAAATTTTGCAATTTCAACCAGCATGGGCAGTAGCTGGTGAGGTCGCATGGCAAGCAGACACCTTTGGGAGTGTGTCTCAGAAGATTCTACAGACTCAGGCTTGTGGGGCTCGCATAGAAGTACTTAAAAAAAAAAAACACCATATAGGCATTTGGGTTTGGGAGCTCAGGCTGTGAAGTTGGAGAGGGGGGGTGCATTTCACTAAAGGTTTCTGCTTAATTTGTAGGGATACCTTCATGGATTCTGAGGTATGTGCATGCTACAGTGGTGGCTACTATTACATAAGGGGAGGAAACTGAGGTAAACTGTGGGTCATTACCTCAAATTCAGTAAATGGGCTACCAGATCTGGCTTAAGCTTGTTGGGGCCCAGGGTCAAAGCCCCACCACCCAAAGCTGAAGAAGGACTGAAGTTCTAGGCAGCATGCCTTAGATTATAGGCCCCCCGACTGAAGTTGTTCCTCACTGCTCACCCTTGCCAAGTGATGGGGTATGGGGTTTGGTCCCACCACCCAGGGCAGCAGGGTATGTGTGGCAGGCATCAGTCACACCTCCTAGGGTCTTTAGCATCTCAATCATCCAAGGGCTCCACTGGTTGTTTAGCCAGCTTCCTGCTTCTGATGTACAGTAAAACTCTAATAGTCCGGCATCCAATAGTCTGGCACTCCTGATAGTCCGGCATCAAAATGGCAAGAGCCTAGTGAGTGAGCTTTGGCAAAAAATGAGTCACAAGTTAACAGCGGCAGCAGCTGAACTGAGCAAAAAGGGTAAAAAAGGCTTAAAAAAATCTAAAACATTACAGTATACTGTATACAGTATGTACAATAAAAAGGGTTAAGAACACTTTATATACAGTATAACCAGTTTATAGTACCTCCTGATAATCCGGCATATCTGATAATCCGGCACCACCTAGGTCCCATAGGTTCCAGATTATCAGAAGTCTAATGTAGTAATTTTTGTTGTCAGAAGGGGGAGGGGGGTCGGTCATGGCACAATGAAGTTCAAGAACCCCCAAGGTTAACAATTTGTTTCTGAATCACAGAGGGCTTCTGACTCCTAAACCATATGAAACCTGAGATGCAGCTTTTAAAGAGGGTGAATTAAAAAATAAAAAAAGATTTTAAATCAGGTTTTTAAAATATAAATTATCAGTATTTTTGTTTTTAATAAACCTATTTAAATTTGAAATTATGACCATATGAATTTAGGTATGTCCTAAACTTTTACTATATTACATAATTTAATTTATAAATATTTACAAAAATAATATTAAACACTACATAGTTGAAAGTATAAAGAGAATATTTTCTTCATTTCAGTTTATTCAATTATTTTCATTTCAGTTATTTGTTCATTCAAAGTTAAGTTACTCATGACAGTTGAAAATGCAGGAAATCTTGTTTTCCTCTTCCAATCTATGAATGAAAACTAGCTTTAAAACCAGGAGACATACTAGTTCAAAAACCTTATGGCCATGGTGACCAGAAACAATCAGAATAATCAACTACAGATATTTCCTTTGTTTAATAAATCAGTTCATTTTATATGCAAAACGCATTTTGATACATATTCATATTATATATGCAATAAATGTAAGGCAATTTAACTAAAATTAATATGCTGCTCATTTTTTTAATTGAATTTCCATCAAAATAACATTTGATTTAATTCTCAAGTTAAATTATCACTTAAGAAATGAGAAATGCATCATTCATACTTTCTAACAAAAAAATTAAGAATCCAGATACATGTAAATTATTCTATATAATTGCTTACATCAAAGTGGTATATTCTCCTGATTATCAAAAAAACCTCCCCAGATTAATGATAAACTATATTTAGTTGCAAATCAACATGTTTTAATGTTTTTCAACCAAGGAGAATTAACCTTCTTTAAGAAATAACTAAAAAGTATAAACACAAAACCAGATTCTAATTTATTGAAAAGAGGCTTCCAGTTTGCCAATTTAAGTCATTATTAAAATGGGTGATTTAAAATCTCTTCAATTTCCATCTGCACTGCTTTTTACAACTATTTCACTCCTCACACAAAATATCTGCAAATAAATTAATCATTTACTTGACATAGATTTGCTTACATAGTGGCTGGAATCCTTATCATCCACCTTTCTTTTTTTGATGTCATTGGAATATTCAGGACCATTCCTGCGTTTATCTGTGTTTCGCAGGCTGTCCGGTACCAAAAGAGAATTACTCTGTAAAGACAAAAAACAAGGTCAATCAAAAATTCCTTCCAGAATTCTTTTATATATGCCTGATAACCAAAACTGGATGCAACAGACATTTTAGAAATGTCATACCTTCACAATCATTCAATACAATTAATCAAAGTCTTCAAAGGCAAATTATAATTCGGGGATTCATATATTTTACGCTTTGCATAAATCAACCTATCAGTAACTATTTGTTAGGTTACTTAATTTAACTGACATTTGTTTTACTTCAGGAAAAATACTATTTGTGAACATGCAGTATTTTATATGTATTCATACACACACACAGTTCATGTATACATCATAATATTCTCATTTTTAATGTCAAAAGCAAATAAAGTTTGGAGGATCTGCCCATTGAATGTACTATTATGAAGCCATCTCTTAAAACAACAACAAATGTAACTGGGTGTTACCAACAGAGTAAGATTAACGAGGGGTTATTTATTTGTTAGCTGTGATAAAAATCTCATCTCGATGCCCTCAACAAATTTACCGCAAACACAAAGATCAAATATTTTCACTGCAACGTAAAATTCATCATTAGTGTGAAATTAAAGCTAACACATTGTTTAATCAGTCTTGGATTTAAAAACTGAGGCCAATACACACACAAAAGAGAAGAGCAAAGACTAATTTCATTCAGATATGCTAAGTACAAACTGTTGACCCAAAGAAAAAAAAGGCATTTTAAATATTTTTGGGTCACATGACACAATTTGACATGCTTCTGATTCCCATCTCCCCTCTAGCTAAAGCATTAAAACATGTTACAATGAGTTCTTTTAAGAATAGGATTAGCATATGCAAGAGGGCAATTTGTTCAGTGATGTGTTAATGCCATGAACAATGCCGAATGAGTTGTGCAAAGAACTCCCAATCAAAAAGACCTGATAAGCCTGGTTTCTAAAAGCCATCTAAAAAAATCATCACAAGAAGAAAGCATGGTGCCAATTTACATACTTAAAAGAAAACTTAAGGACAAATCAGATACAGTGGTGAGTCCATGAAGGAAATATTTGTTTATATTAAAAGTCATAGATGTTTACTCTAATATTTAACCTAATAATCAGTTCCCTACTCCTTGAATGATTCTCCATTTGAAAGTGCTCAAACACATAGAGGAAAACAAAACAGTATTACACATGGCAATTTGAACCCTCTTTTGCCTACTTCAGAGGCTATACTTTAAAGCTAGCTCTAAGCTCTTTTATTCATGACTATTCAAGCTACACAAATGCCAGAAGGCTTACATAAAGCATATGGGAGGGTCCAATGAAATTCAGTATAAAGAAGCTCATAGTAATGTCTTTACCACAATGTTTTGTGGCTAAAAGGTGGACTTGCTGGATGACTGAACTAATTACCTTGATAAGCATAGACCAAATTTAACCCATCTTCTCCTTCCAAACACACACAAAAAGATAAGGAAGCCAATGTTTCAGAAAACTAAAATCCAACTCAGATGAAAAATAGATTTGTATTTTAAAATGAACACCCAAGATCTGCAATAGGAGATACAGCTTAAAGATACACTCTACTCTAGCTGTCAGGGGGAAGCCTGTTTTTGCTAAAACCCAAGACCAAAAGAAATATTCGTTTAAAAATATTTCTCTTGGAATTTTTTAAAGCAACCCAAATATTGCAGTACTGGGAAGCTGCAAGGACCCCTAACAATAAAACATGCACCTGACTTCATCAGTTATCACTGTCACAGAAAATAACTTCAAAAAAGGGAAGAGTATTTGTGAAACAACAAATTATCTGGTATCACTTTATAGACTAACTCCGCTATCCTCTGAAGCTTCTTACATTTTTGAGACCTGGATCCTGCAAATTATTTTAAATGTATGTTGATTCCACTCATGCAAGCATCTTGCAAGACCCATGTCTAAAGTACATAGTAGAGTAATTTCAGGTGTTAACAGGTAGTTTTTTAGTGTCCCTTTAATGTCTAGTTCATGATTGTACACACTTCTGTGCAATTCAATATTCCATGAGGCAATAGAGAACCATACTTATAAATCCAGAAAAGCCAAAAAGCATATTCATTCACACACACACACACACACACACACAGAGAGAGAGAGAGTGTGTGTGTGTTCCTTATTAGTTTATAAAATAATAAAGGACAAGGGTCCATACAGTTTCTGGGATGCAACTTTCCACTCCCAATAATCCCTACTAGTACTTACCCATTATTTTTTGTTACAAACGGGAATTCCTAAAATGATATAGATGGTGAAAATATCTAGACAAATAGATAAGAACATCTGCAAGCGTCCTATATAGCACCACATTATGCCTATATAACCCTATCTCGTAATGCTTGGGGGCAGAGGTTTTCAACCAGGGATACACAGAGGTTTCAGAGGGTACATTAACGCAGACTATTTGCCTAGGTTTACAACAGATTACGTAAACAGGACCAGTGAAGTCACTACAAACAAAAACTAATTTATGCACAATGTGTTATTTGCTCTATACCAGGAGTGGGCAATACTTTTTTTCCTAGGGGCCTCTTCAAAAATTTCTGAAGTAGCCCCAGGCTGCACCGGAAGGGACGGAGCCTCAAATGGAAGGGGCGGGCCAGGCTGCTTCTGAGCTTCCCTGCCCACAGACCATGATTAGTCTGGGGGTGAGGGAGCACCTTTGCCCCCACCCCAGACTTCCCCAAGGTACCCATGCTCCTGGCGGTGGGAGGAGACTTCCCATGCTCCCCCACCTCCAGGTCAATCAAACTCTGGAGGCGAAGCCTTCTCCTGCCCTGCCAGGAGCATATGGTGCTTGTAAGTGCCATGTGCTCCCTCAGGCTGGGGGCAGGGTGGAGGAAACTTCGCACGCTGCCCCCAACCCCAGGCCCTGATTGGCCTCTGCAGGATGGATCAAGCCACTTGGCAGGCCAAATCCGGCCTGCGGAGGCCCTTTTGCCCACCCCTGCGCTATACACTATATACTGAAATTTAAGTCCAATTAACTAATTAATGACAAAAAGTGGGAAAGCAGGCAATTTTTTTAGTAGTAATGTGCTATGACACTTTTGTATTTATGTGCGATTTTGTATGCAAGTGAGGTGAAACTTGGGAGTATGCAAGTCAAATTAAACTCCTGAAAGGAGTACAGCAGTCTGGAATAGTTGAGAGCTACTGCTCTGGGGCATTAGCAATACAGTTTCACTAGCCTGCAGGATCATATGGGGTATGATAATGGGCAACAAGGTGCTGTAAAGGGCTAAGCTTATTGGAAACCTTTTTTAAGGTTAATCTTAAATAAAAATAAAGAAGAAAGTCTGTTTTGCTGCACAGACATATGGCACCAGGAATGATAATCATGTTTTTTCAGCTCCTTCCACTCCTCACCAATTTTCCAGACTTAGGGTACGTCTAACACTGTGTGGCTATTTCGGGGTACCTCTGGGTAGATGTGCCAAATTTCAAAATAGAATCAAAATAAGACACACAATTTGCGTAGCGCAAATCGCATATCTTATTTTGAATTTAGGGTGCTGTATAGACACACCCTAAAGGGATTATCTACAATGGAGAAAGTGATTGGAATAATTGTTCCTCAATAGCCCAGTCTCTCCTCCCCCCATCTCTCCTCCTCCCCTCTATGGACTCCCTTAACACAGTATGAGTATCTCTTAGGCCAGATCTACACTATAAACTTACATCAATATAACTACATTACACAGGAATGTGAAAAAAATCCAATGCCCCAAGTGACAGTTATAACAAACTAACCCCTTCTGTAAGTAGTAGGTGAAGTACCTACACCAACAGGAGATGCCCTCCCATCGGCAAGGTAGCATCTTCACTTCATGACATTGCAGAAGTTAAGTGCAGACTGTATTCTGGAATAAAAAGAATCCCTGTGAGAAGCTACTGCACCAGCTATTCCACTCAATTTCCCTGACAAGCACCTAGACCTATGATGTTAACTGAGCCTGCTCACATTCCGACGCAACCTATCCACCATCCAGGAATTGGAGATTTTGGGTGGTGGTATAGTTCGTTTGCAATTTATATCCCTATTCTCGGTTGTGTAAGATCACAGAAGACAATAAAGGATTTATTTTAAAAATTAGATTTTACTAATTATTCAAAATATAGTTCAACAAACTGCAGCCCTGAAAACAAGAAAATGCAAACAGAACATTAAAATACTGTAAAGGAGTAAGAGCACATTTCAACTGATTGGAGTATGTTTTCAATGTATGTATGCTTGCTATTGCAGACTGCTCCTTTAGTGCTGAGAATCAGCTGTGTGCAATTTCATCAGGCAGTATGAAGAATTTCCATTTTCCACTTTTGTTACTAGCACTTTAAGAAATACTGAAGTGACACAAATGACAACAAACAAAAATATGGGACACAGATGACAATACCAGACTTTGTTATCCAGGGGCTCATCGTGCCTCCTGCCTGCAGGAGCGACTTGAGGAACAGTTACCAATTAGAGCAGCAAACTGAGAAGATTGTCCCATCTTGTCAGGTCAAGTACTGTTTATATTTCCCACATGATTAGTGCCCTAAATGGCATAATATAAGACTGATAGCATGAAAGAGCAGCTGCTTCACTACACTTTAATGCAGCTGATATTTCTAGAGAGCACTAACCAGTTCTCTTCACTTGGTGGGAGGGGAAAATTTTATACAACAAATCACTAGGAATAATAAAAAGTAACTCTACCATTCTACAAATGACCCATTTTGAAATGTTAAAATTACTATTCTCTCTCTAGGAATAATACAGATTTCAAAGATAATATTACAGACTTTTCATTTTGGATTGAAATCTACAGTGTTAACTGATTTGTGTCATGTCGAAAAATATCTGGTTGACTCACTAAGAATAAAAACAGCATGACACCAATTTCTGTTTTGTCTTAATTTCAGTAGACTAGACACTTAATTGAGGATAAGCCTTCCTTTCATGCTAAGAACTCAATTTATCAGAGATTAAGAATGCAGAGTCTACAT